GCATAACCTCATTTTCAGGTAATGGTGTCATTGCTACCCTTGACCCACGAGTAGTCTTTGTGTCCCCACTGTGAGTCACATCACAGTTGTTTCACTTTAGCAGGGGCTTCCCTCTGATCTGAGTGGACAAAGCCATCTCTTGGAGTCCTGAAGAAGCAGTGTTTGTTCTGCTGTGTCACTGGGAGTCTAATAGCTTGGCTCTTTCCTTAGAACACAACTGCTGTTTTAGTTGCAACAGCACCTCACTGTCCTCTGGACTGTTCAACATTTAATCTGCTCCCATGGACATGGAGAGTCTTATTGCTGTGATTACAAGCACCACACCTCTGAGACTTTCCAAATTAGAGAGCCCCAGCAGATAGGAATGAGTGGCCTGTCTATGATTATAAATTTGTCTGTGCCCCCTGGAATTCTATCCATCAAAATCCCACAGCTGCTGCCGCACCTCTCCTTACCTGACAGGGATCACCACAATTGTAAAATCCAAACTCCAGTGAGAAGTTCCATTTTAAAAAGTTCTGTAGTAATGGGCTCAGCTATTTTCAATCAATCTTGTATCAGAATTGTATCAAGAGAGAACCACCAGATATACAGTATGGGGAGTTTATTATAGGATCAGCTCTTACACAGCTTGGAAACTGGTGAAGTTCACAAAGAGCTGGAGCTTTTTCCCCCTTGTTTTGAAGTTGCAATAGGTCAGCTTGGCTAACATCTGGAAATGGAATAGGAAACCATTCCTTTCCAGGGAATCAAAATGGACTCAGATTAGGGAATGCAGCTTGACATCTGAGTAAAGAGAACTAGTTAGATGTGTTTGGACGCAGGAGTGTCCTTTATGGTTATCTAGTCTAGGAGTCGCCAGTGTGTGTTAAATAGTGATGAACAGTCAGGACAGATGATTTCTTGAATCTGTCGGGTGTTTGGATCAAGAGGAGCCATACTAGAAGAGACCCTTCTGAAGCAGCCTTACCCATGCCTGAATAAGACTTTGATGATGAGATCATTCACTACTAGACAGAATCTGATGCTTTCATAGCACCAGACTTTCAGAGGAGGGGGCAAACCATTCTGAAATGTGCACATAACATAATTATGTTACACAGGCCTTGAAGGCCTTAAAGGCCTCATCTCTTCCTGTAGTGGAGTAATTCTATTGGATGTATGTACTGTATTTTTTTCATAAGTCTCTCCACTTTTTAGGCAGCCATAAAAGTTCTCAAAATTAAGACACCCTGCAAAGTATTTCAGCCTGCAAACTGCAAGTCAATCTGGGTCCAAATGTCCTATCTACCCAGAGAAATACTGACACTGTATACTTGCCACCAGAGGGAGCAGGAAGCCTCCAATGCACCCAGCTCCCTTCTGTAATTAAATTTACTCCTCACCCTTTCAGTAGCTCCTTCTGGAAAACACCATTGGTACAATCAAATAATCATCTAATTCCTATTATTTTTACCTAAATAAAAGATAATAGAATATTATTTATTTGGAAATAGCACAACATTGCAAAAGGAATATGCATGTCGGAATAAACTGTAGGCATATTGAATGTGATAGAGCAAGGAAACATTTTCAAAGACAAACATGAGAATCGTTACACACTCTTAGGAATAATAATCCTTGGCCACAATGATAAAAAAGCAATGTATCCCAAGGTTGAAGGGTCAGTTGCCAGGCAGATGTCCTTGTAGGCATTTCTTCTACAGAATTTCAGTGACCTCTGGGCAAGCTTGTGACAGCAGACTTTTGATAGTTTCTGTAGGCATCCATTTAAGAACTATTCTTCCTAAACATCCCCATTCTCTTTTATGTTTATTTCTTGTTTTATTCGTTTTGAGACGGGGTCCTACCATGTCATCCAGGCTGGTCCCAATATGCAGTGACTGATTCCCCCTGCCTCATCCTTTGAGTAGCAGAACTATAAGCAGATTCCACTAACCACATAGAGCTTACTTATATTTGTTTTTGTTAAAAGTCCCTGCATAACCTCAACCTTACCAATTTTGTTTGATTTCCTATTGCTAAAATGCCTTTTTGTGTACTGTGATTTGACCACATTTCCCTGGGATTCCTGTAGTGGCCTTTTGCTTTGCTCTTTCTTGGAGAAGATAAGAAAGGCAAACAGAGGTGTCTTCTACTTTTCTTTCTAGCCAGAATCCAAGAAGCAGCCATTGTACTGTATGTTTTGCTTTTCTCATACAGGTGTCTCTTGCTTTACACACACAGTGTACCAGTTCACTGGGTTAGTAAATTCTTTACATAATGGCCTTTGTACCATACAAGGGAAAAGATAGCAGTCAGGGGAAGATGTGAAAGAATTTTAAAAACTCTTTGAAGAAAATAGTTGAAAATAAACTTTACTCCAAAAATGAGGGCAAAATCTAATAAAACTCTAAAATCTTTGTAATTGATTTTGTTTTCACATGTTTGCTGACCATTGCTAGGTCAGTGCCCTACAGGTCAGGGTACTAGAAACCATTAAAGTTATTGGTTGTACCTGGGTCTTATTTGCGTCTTTGTTAAATAAAAACCCCCAAATTAACCCCTGCCCCTGGAAATGAACGAGAAACATAATAGGCAGGAATTTCTGTGCTTTATCAGTCTATGATGCAATCACACAAGGGCCATCAATCAGTACAGTTGATGACACTAAGAAAGATTTTTACATTTAAATTATGGGATGCTATTTATGGTTAAAAATGCTTCCAAATTCTAGCAACATTAAGAAACCCTGTCATTTTACAGTTTATAAAACATCGATGTGATGGACAGGTTGAGTAAATGAAAAACTGAAAGGAGATGAGGTCACAGGACCGAAGTGCTAGATCACATCACAGGCCAGAAGAGAGCATCAGATCCCCTGGGGTTCGAGTTCCAGGTGAGCTACCTATGGGTGCTGAGAAATGAACGTAGGTCCTGTGTAAAACCCGCAAGTGCTCTTAACTGCTAAGCCGCATCTCCAGCTGCATGGGCCCCATAATTCAAATCTTTAACATGTTTCCAGATGAAGCACTAACCATCCCTAACGAACAAATCTATATCACCATATGAAATACTCTCTTCCAAGGAGAATTAGACAACTCAACCCATCTCATTTCCCCCTAATCTATCTCTTTATTTGAACAAGAGTCTGCAATATTTTGTAATTTGTGTGCACTTGGAAGCTAAGAAGCATTTCACACTTCAGGGGCTGGCATTGGAAGGATTTCAATAAGAAATCTATATTTCAGAGACAAGATACTATGAAAAATGCCATTCTCACGTCTCAGGCAGACTAAATAGTACTTGTAAGGATGTTAAAAACTGAATTTGCATTGCCAAAATGAGTAACTTCAAGACAAGTCAAAAAAGGCTGAAAGGTTGCCCGCCGTCAGCCTTCCATTAGAGTATAAGAATCTCATGAGGCCAAAATCTACACATGGTTTTAGAATTTCACCCCAGGCTCATTTGCAGATACTCTGTAATTTTGTTGCGGGAAGGGGGGCGCTAGGAAGATAGCTCACTCAGTAAAATGCTTGGTACCTCAGTCTGATCCCTAGAACCTGTGTTTAAAACTGCAGTGTTGGCAGGAGCCTGTAATCCCAGCACTGGGGAGGCAAAGGCAGGTGGGTTCCTGGGTGTCCCCAGAGAGCCTAGCTTATCAGTGAATTGAGAGACTGTGAGAGAGCCTGTCCATGGTCCTACAGAGAAATACCACCTGAGTTTGCCCTCTGTCCTCCACACACTAACAAAACTGTCACCTGAGTCCAGTTAGAATAGCTGACTCTCTGTGTGCCAGACCAATACTGCTGCCTCTTCCTTCTTCTTCAAAGTGATAGTCATCCCTCCTAGAGGGACATGTACAAGGTGACCTGTAGCCTCAAAACATCTGGAATCTTAATCCAGAGATTTAAGAAGTGATTTATTTAGAGACCTGAGTGACATTAGGGACAAGTGAGTAGATAAACAGTGGGGAGAGAAAGTATTGAGTGCGAATCTCTTCCAGTCCTCTCTTATTCATTCAGGAGAAATTTTATTGTTAATTTGAGGAGTAGATGACCATCATTTTTGGGAAAATGGGATACAGGCTATCCAAGATCCCATCTACAATTAGACTTGGATGAATGATCAAAGAATGGATGAGAATGCTAGCAAGAACTCAGGGCTAAGGAAACTGCACAGAAGGTGAGTCAGGAAAGTAATTGTGTTGATGGCAGATTTCACGTGCTGGTGGAAGTGACTCAATTCTACTCCTCCAGGAAAAGGGAACAAAATGATCAAGAGAATCCCATTCTTTCCACCTTTCAACTCAGTCTTAGCATGCTGAGTTTCCTTACATGACTTAGTAGCTGCAATTCATTCATGCCCACATTCTTTACTAGGAAGGCAGAGGCTTTCTCTGTTGCACTGACCTTCTTCCTTTAGCATCTACACAGTTCTGCTATATCTCTCATGAGACAGGACCTGCGACAGCCCACACGGAGATCGGGAGATCATTGGTCTTAGGCTGTATTATGCTGAAGGTGAACAAGCACGCAGACGTCGGCGATGTCGGAGCTAGTAACCCTATAGTGTCTACTGTCGCCTTTTCCTCCTCTCCCTCCTTTCCTCTCCCCTGCCATCACTTCTCCTCTTCTTTCCTCCACTCCCTTCCTCTCTTCTTTGGTCTTGAGGAGCAATATTCTTTCTAATTTTATTTTTCCACTGAATTGATCCCAGGCTTTCCATCTGAAACCTTAAGTCTTAAAGCCTGAATCACCATGATTTCTGACAACTTCACCAGTTGGTTTAAACAAACAAACAAAAACAAAAAAACAAAAAAACCTTCACAGGTAGCGAGGCCAATCTTGATTGCCGGGATGCGGCGAGTCTCAACGGGTAAAGTTCTGGCTCAGCCCCCAAACTCCTCTCCTTTTGCCCCGCCCCTTTAATATCGTCCTTGTCTGAAGCCGGAGTTGGCCATTTTGGATCCGGGCGGAAATGAACTCCCAATCAGGCCAGTTAAAAATCCAAATATTAAACTAGGATACCTGTGCAATCAAGGTTAAAAAACACACGCAGACGGTTTCTTTGCAGCCAGAGTAGGTTGCTGGGAACAGGCGCGCGGCGCAGGCTTCCCCGGCGCCCAGCCCTGAAGATGACACGGACCCGAGCATCACCTGCGCGGCCGCTCTAGCTCGGTTCCGGGTTCGCGCACCTCGGTGGTGGCGTCGGAGGAACTGGAGGCCGGTCTGTTGACCCGTTTCCGGGCCCTGGTGGTGCGGTCTGAGTCCGGTGCTCGGGAGACTGTGGGTGGAGGGCCTAGGCCTGCGCGTCGGAGCCAGCAGCCAGCCTCCTCCCGACGCCCGCAGGTAACCGGGAGCCGAGCGGCCAGGGCGGCGGGGCAGGGCGGGAGCGGGGTCGCCGCTCGCGGGGAGCACTGGA